CATACAACTCCCAAATGGTCATACTTGATTATGTATCTAAATATGATGTGTTAAGCTGAGTGTGAAAGTCTTCATTCGGTCAGTCTAAGACGAAAATAAACCTATAAAGACTCTGAATACAAGTGTTAGTTAAGTGAAGTACTAAAGACGGCCTGATTAAAGTCCATGGTGGAATGGAAACTAGTGATTTAAAAATGAAGATGCGGACCGATACTTCTGTGCTTCTTACTCTTTTCCGTTCACTTTGACTCTTTTCCCAGTACTTCATTAACACGAATATAATTTTCCTTTTTTCTGCTATACCCGTTGCCTGAATGTATGTATACCAAGATCTCGAATTCAGAACAATGCAATGTCGTCCATTTACGCTACATTTAAAATGAGTAAACTTTGTACAATTCGGAAGCCTTTTCTCTAAATATGGTAACCCGAATGGCAGAGATTACCATCCAGTAATGAAACCTTCCTACTGAAAGTTAGTGAAATACTGCATCATCAAAAAAATATGTATTCATGTCTACTTTACAGGAGAATCGAAAAGTCGAAGACAGATAGGAACGAAGAAATCATAGTAATATGTCTGAGACCGCATTATAGCAAGCACCACACACCAACTTAGCTTGTTTTCTGTTCATAGGTTTGAAAGTAGCGAGTCATACCTCCACTGAACTTAACGCTGATATTTATTCCCTCAGAAGTATATGAAGTAGGATTCAAAATGGAGGCAGAATATTTGTAGCTTAGGTGAATGATCTTGGTTTGTGTTGCATTCTCTGAGCTGGGCGGTTTGATCGTGAAGCTTTTATCGTCTTTCTAGACAGCATCACCAGTATTAACTTCAGTAAAACTCAACAAAACCTAACCGCAACCTAGAATGTTATGGTTGTCATGGCTAATGATTGCAGATTTAGTTCATTTCTTGCAACATGTTTTATCACTTGCTCATTGTTTTCAGAAAATTCCGTTAGCTGCATAGAATGAAGCACCATTAGGATGATGGAGTGTGATCTCCATCCTAGCCGTTAAAAGAACATGAAATTATGAGTAGTATAGTCTGTGAGAGGGGCTGCATCAATGTTCATGGTTAGGTGGAGTACACAAGCTGCTATGCACTCAGAATGTATCCAAACTAGTGACAAAAAGTGAGCTGTAGCTTCTGAACTCACGGCCACAATAATTTGTGTAGTAGTAGTAGTACCTTGGTCAACATGGGGCTCAGAATAACCCTTACCTATTCGTTCAAAACCAGTGTGAACTTGGGTAAACAGAATGCGTAATGGAAAGCTAATGTAGGTGGTGGCAGAATAATCACCCTTTCAAGGTTATATAGAAATATTATGAATCGTTATCAATCTCCTTATGAGTTTTGAGCACTGCTGGAAAGTTACAGTGGCTATGTATATGGCCGATCAAGCTAACATAGAACTTATGTTTGGTAACGATGAGTCACCAAATGTGATGATGTCCTTATAACTTAAAGTTGCATGCTGAAGAAAGGTCTGTGCTATGGTTTAAGCGAAGCTTGAAAATTGTTTTGATGCGTAAACTGTCATCCTAACTTTATAAACTCAAAAACATTTTCATCTGGTGGCTGCCGTGAGTATCTATTTAAATACTGATTAGATGAAGACGCTGACACGATGCAGAGTCCCGTGGATACAATAAGTGGAAATTTAAGAATATTCGTGATGTCTTTACCAGCCACCTAAATGCAAACTGTTGCTCAAGGACCGATCTTTAGCAATACCTCGGCTACAGATAGAGAGTGAAGTGGTTAAGTGCATTGAAAATTTCCCTTACCTAGGAAGTCGGATAAACTCTGATGAGACAGTGGCCGACGAAATCTCTGCATGGATACAGAAATCTGGCGTAACCTAAGCCAAATTACATCACTTGATGTATCGCCACGATATCCGGCTACCTATAGAGTGTCGACAGTACTGCGCTGCAGTTCACTCTCTTCTACTGTACAGTGGTAAAACATGGCCATTCAAGGTAAAGGATATGATAAAGCTCCTACGGTTGACCACCTTTGTCTTCGTAGCATAGGCTGTGCTTTGTGATGTTACCGCATGAGTAACCCAGAATTCAAGTGTAGAGTTGTAGGCGAGAGAGGTAAGCCAGTTGGTGCAGTTGTGAACCTTTATCGACTGAGATAGCTGAGCCATGTGTTATGCATGCTAGGTCACCATCTGTTCTTCATGCAATGTACAGTGGAGTATGTTCAGGCTGAGAAAATCTTGGGTAGATCATTGCATGAAGCCTTTGACTTGTGGTATAAGCCATGTAGGGAGATGAGGACTAGCCAGCTGGGATCTGTGTGACAACAGAAACCACTGGTTGGAGACTGTAGGTGATAGGGTTCAGGATCGATGTCACTGGTCCAGAAGTATCCACACTTTATCTTCATCCTAACCGCTATACTGAATTCAGCATTTTTTCATTCATCCTTCCTCTCTTTTACTGCTTTATACTTGTTCTTACCAAGTTCTCTTTCTGTCTTTGTCTTTCATCTTATTGCTTTGTTACTTATTGTGTTGATGAGTTTTGGCAACTCAAACCGTTGCACAGTAATGTTTGGTCCTGTGGTGATATTGATGATGAAACACTGATTATAATTTATTAGAACTACGTTCATAGAGTGACAATGGTTTAAAAAATCTTGCTTTTTCTACCATTGACTAATTAGTTTGGACAGCAATATGGTTCATATTAAACAAATAAATCCAGGTTAAAATTCAGTCGCCGACTGATTATAAATGAAACCTAATGTCGTACAATTCTGTATAAATCGAGTCATGTACAAAAAAATCATTGGTTTCAGAAGCTACATCCTCAAGTTTAAAAAAAAGCAAAAGAGTTCAGATAACTGAATTATTTTTGTATTTTCAAGAGACTCTCTATTTGATTTTTTGAAGGCTAAGATGTAAGTAATGATAATTTTTATGAGAAGTACTAAGATATTTGTGCTTATAACCACAAACCAACAGTTCTACGGTGTTCCAAACACTTATATATTGGTTAGTATTCCCTTTTTAGTTCTCTGTTTCGAGGTGGTTTCTCATGCCATATATATATATATATATATATATATATATATATATATATATATATATATATATAAAGTTATACATCGCAAACATGAGGTTACCATGTCGGCAAGCACTAAAGGTAACATGAAAGAAAGGAAAACAGAATCTGTAAATATTTTTATGATCATCGTATGCACAGTGATGACGATACCGAAAATACCATAAAAATATGCCGACGAATGGAAACAGAAGAGTCAACGAAAAGGATGGGAGTTTCTGGACTGTAGCAACAACAAAAGGGAATATGAAAGGTCTCTTCGACTATGATTAGTTACACATTGTTAGTGTCAAGATTACTTGGAAATGATGAATTGTTTTTCACTCAAAAGGTTTGAATGAACGGGTAAGTCAAAAATAGCAGGTTTACTAAAGCATCTGGAAAATTGGAAATGCCAATAAGTAGGAAGACATTGCTAGTAACTATCCAAAATGCTGATATATAGTAGGAATGATATCAAAATGTGGAGTAAAGCCCTATTTTACTTCGCACGTTAACTGATACGCCTTAATACCATAAAATTGTACTATCAGTAGTTGATTTATATCAGGAGCAAACTGCTAAGGACCAGTCAACAACCTGTATTGCGAGCTGTTATTCCCCAGAGGAAAGAATTGGTAGCAATTCGTTCAATGATAACTTGATGAAAAAATATACGATACATCTACACTGAAGATACTTTACGCTACGCTAAACACTTTTCCTACATTATCACACTGTTTAATAATAAATGCTGTAACTTAGCTAACTTTAATCTACTGTGCAATGAAAAACAGATGATCGTTCTAAGTTTTTTGAGCAAAATAGATGTAAGCCCACTAGGTGACTAAATTTGTCGATCCTCTGAAATTCAAGTCTTGTAGAAAAAATTTGACTTAAAGAAGTCAATATTAGGTCATTAATATCAAATAAAAAAAGTAAAACAGTAAACAGAAATGATTTTATGATAGTTGAGCCGTAGCTCATCAATTTGGGCAGTTGATTTTCAACCACTGCGTCGTGTCCCAACAATGTCCCACCTATCGAAGTTTAGGCAGCTTTCACAAAATAGGTGTGGCTCAGTGCCCACTGCATGAATGTGTACAAGGTTGCTGAGTGCAATTAGATTCTGTCCGACATTTGAAAAGATGTAGTGCTGTTGCAGTATTTTATGTTTGTGTTATTTTCTAGTATTTTCTGTAACCTTAATATTGTCACGTAGCCATACTGAAATCCCTAAACTTTTATGGTACACTATTACACTGAGAGGACACACACAGACTCCAGTCAGTCCCAAAGAATTTAAAGTTAACCCTTCTAAGGAAAACAAATTATTGTCGAACTCTGCTTCTTTAACTTTTTGTTGGCTGTCTGAGAGTAGGTAAGAGTAAAGTCAAAGTTGTAAAGTATAAGGATGCCATTTTTTCAGAAAAAGAACAGTGTATAATACCAAATGAGATCAAAATTCATCACTAGTGCAAACATCAGTAAAAATCGCAGTCAGTCATCGCAAGCAGCTCCGTGTGCTAAGCAAAAAATAATTTAATACAGCTCAGCCAAGAACACGTTAATTAACTAGGGTACGAACCACACCTATTGTGCGGGAGCTAGTAATGATGCTTGGATGCTAAGACTTAAGTTAGTGTGTTTTAGATTAGACCCAATTATCTCCTGGTTGAAACTTGTTTCAAGGATAATGAGCCATAGCTTATAGTGAAAATTCGATTCACAACGGTATGTTTACTTTTAATTGTGGAAAAAATATTTTACCTCCACTTAAGAGGAACGGAAGCTTAAAGGATGAAGTGAAGAATCTGGTGAGAAGCCCAATTCTTACTGACGCTTACCAGCTAAAAATTTCTCATAGGTGATAAATTTTACGTGTTTTAATGAGATAATATAAAAACTGGAGTTCACTGGTAAATACTTACCTTAAAATGTTTAGTAAGATCCATAACATTTTTAAATAATGACCTATCGAAAAATACATGCTCGTGAAACCCAAGATCAATGATTCCCCAAAGTCTATTCACACAAAAGATGCAACCTTTCTGTGATATAATCAGGCCACAGGATGAATCAGTCACTTGTCTAGATGCAATGAAGAGATTTAGTTTGTTAGTGTACTGCAGTTCAACGACACCTGTTATTTCATCAACAATAAATATTCTATTGTATTTCTTCATAAACTCCAGAAGCTCTATTTGAGTCCAGCCAATACAATTCCTCACTAAATTGGGTGCACGCGAAAGCTCTGCAAGTAGTCTTGATATTATGACCTCATCTTTGAAGCTTCGTTTGATGACATACATTAACCAGAATATAGCCTTACAATCATCTAGGCTTACTACAATGTTTTCTCCATCTTGTGGCTTGGCTGATAAATTATCATGGATGACTGCAGGTGGACTAAAGGAATCATCATTTAGGCCCCGATACGGTAATGTATGATATGCATCTTCAGGTACATGAAATGATAAAGGTCGTGTAGATTTCCGTTTATAGTTAGATGGTGGTGCTGTGAAGCAAGCTGTCTTGAATTTGTCTCTTAATCCAACAAGATCACCTCGAATATGAAATATCAGCGGATGTCGCATCAGAAACCCAAGAAATTCAGACTGAGGTCCAACACTAAGTCTAATATGAGGTGATGCTTGTGATAGATGGCCAGCTAGGTTTTTTATAGGCACCCACCGCTCCGGTTTTCTAAGTAAGTGCTCCTGAAAGTATCGAACTGCGGAGGCTTCCGATTCTATGGTGTGTCTGTTGCGAATATTTCGTGGGTTCTTGTTATAGTTGTTATGGTTACGATGAGTAAACCGGTTTGAAGAGGGCTTATCGCCAGTCAGAGGATCGCTAATATCAGTTAGACACACCAAATTATCAACGACATTGAATACTGTTGGGTTGGAGGACAAAAAGTTTTCGAAAACGTGAATACTTTTCCCAATACCATATTTGAAATCAGAAACTTGTTGAAATTTGTTACACATATGCACCCATAGGTCATTAACATTTTGGTTCCCACCATACTGAATTAAAAATTCAAGAGCAGCCAAGATATAGGCCTCTGACATTGTTCAAAAGCAATACTTCAACTTTAGTAATCCAACAGACGTAAACGTGAAAAGTATTTAAAAAATCAAACTGCCTTGAATATGCCCTTCAATTGACGAATAGTAACAAACGTAATCAGAAAAGATCGATGAAATTACTGTACACAGTTTAAAAATAAACGTTTTATTATGAAAATTTAGAAAAAATAACAGAATCATTGCAGTGAGAAAAGGTTTTCAATATCCAATATCTTTTTAACGAGCTTGTGTAAACCAGTTGATTTCTTCTTGCTTGCTTCTTGGTCTTGCGAAACGGTTCCAGATCTCTGGCGGATTCCGATGCAGTAGGTCCATCCACTCATCTGCTATAGCTCTGATTTACAGAACAGGAAGTGTTGGTTCGTTTGCCGTGGACTGTGTAGTTGGCTTCTTCAGATGTCCAGTTGCGAGACAGTTGTTCGGACTGGTCGCTGGAGAGGGTTGGGGATAGTGAAGAGAAAACCTAGAAAGTGTTTGTGTGAGTAAAAGGGGAGAAGAAAAGTGAACTGATGGAGTAATCTACTTACACCCAAGTAAGGTGAGTAGGGGTGCAAGAATATGATGAACTTAGGTAAGTGAGGTTAACTCATGGCAAGTGGAAGGGTGAAAAGGGCTTAAATGGTTACAGCAGAAAGAAAACTGGTTGGAGTGGCTTGACACCACTTCGTGTTCCAGCTACATGTGGGTAGACCATGAGTCTCAGCATGACCGTCCAGCCTCTTTCTGGAGCTTCCAATAGTTGAGGCGGAAACCACCTCTGCTGGTAGTGCGTTCCAGTACCCGCAGACCGGAAAGGAAAATAACTGTGAACGCACATGCGTTTTTGCCCTTGGTGGGCTATTCTATTGGGGTTTCCTCAAGGATCTCCGTAGTGGCCACTCGGCAGAATTCCTCTGTTCGGGTGACTTGGTTACTCAGTGTGTTGTAAGCCATTAATAAGTCGCCTTGTAACCCTCGGCAGCTTAGGGAGTATAGGCCTCGGTCTTCCAGTCTATCCTCATATGGTTTTCGTTGCATTCCAACAACCCCTCTTGTGGCTCGCCTCTGCACTTTCTCCAATAGGCTCGTGCCTCTTTTCAGCTGTGGTGGAGCGAAGGCGTTATGGACCTCTAAGTGTGGCCTTAACGTAAGTCTTGTAGAGCTTCAGAAAGAGGTTTGGGTTGAGGGCACTCAACTGTTTACACACAAAGTGTAGTACACCATATGCTTTTGAGGCATCACCTGGGTGATTGGAACTTATGTCCAGTTTCTCCATCACCGTTAAACCCAGGCCCTGTTCTACTGCGGTATGGGATAGACGTGGACGGCAGAGGTAGTAGGATACTTTCTGAAGATCAGGAGTGCGGAAAAACATAGACCGGCACTTTTCTGGGTTAAATGCCAGTCCTTTATTAGGTCCCCATTCCTCTAGCCTTTTGAGGTCGTTCCGCAATGCTATAGATTCCGCTTCGAAAGTTATTGCCCACCATAACTTGACATCATCAGCTTATAGGAGAATCGGGGAGCTGATATGTTGCCGCAGGTCATCCACGAACAGTAGGAACAACAGTGGACCCAGGATTGCTCCTTGTGAGACACTGGATGAGGATGCTGTCCAAGTTGAGTGGACCCTGTTGACTTTCGTGCAGAACTCCCTGTTGTCTAAGTAGTTCTGCAGTCACACTAGCACCCAGCTGCGAATACCTAACCCAGCTATGTTATGTATTAGGGTCATGTGTGGGACGGTGTCAAAGGCTTTGGAGAAATCCAGAAAAATTGCGTGGACTGGGACCTTGAGATCCCAGAATGCTATCCAGTGATCATAGGCCGTCAGGAGATTGGAGGCGCAGGACCTACCCTTCTGAAGGCCATGTTGAGCGTCACTGAGTGCTTGTTTTTTGTCCAGATATTCCCTAATACTGTCGTCCATCACACTTTCCACAGCTTTTGATATTACGGGTAGGAGTGCTGTGGGTCTTTAACAGTTGGGATTCTGCCTGTCTCCTCCCTTGAAGATGGGATAAAGGACAGCCCGCTTCCACTTTCGTGGGAGCTTTTGTTCATCCAGGGAGTGGTGAAAGAGATTACAGGGTGGGCCACTTGGGGGACCTGCATATTCTTTCAACACGGATGGGCCGATGTCACCGCAGCCTGGGGATTTTCCCACGCTCAGCTTTGATAGTTTGTCGAGAACAACAGCGCGAGTTATCTGTATTTCGTGTAACTCCGCAGCGCCGGGTAACGTTTAGGGCTGTTCGTGCAGTTGTTATGCGCACTTTCTGTATGGAATGTTGAGCTGTGTGCCAAAGTTGGTGCTCAGCATTTCGGCAATCTACTGTCGAGGGAGGTTTTCTCCGTTCGGACCTTTTATGACGCATGCTCATTGGCTTGTCGGTTTTCTTTTTACCGTGAATCGGTAAAGGTTTTTGGGTTTACCTCAAGCCTTTTGGCGAGGTTGGATCGGAACGACCTCCTGTCTCCCCGCACCCTGTTGTTGCTTCGATTCCATGTATGCGTCATGGTCGTCCTGTTCTCTGGAGACTTTCTATATGCGCCATGCTTTTCTCCTGGCTTTTAGAAGGCTTTCAGCGTTCTGTTTTGGCCATGAGGTTCACTTTCTGGTTGTCGTTACCGCCTAAAGGACGTTTTGCGAGATGGCCACCCCAGTGATATCTTTTGTCAGTTCCCAGTGCTGGTCGATCGATAAGTGACACCAACCCACTGGCCATGGAGCTGTTGATAGCCTTTTGTTCATACCTTCGTATTTTGCCTTGTTGTAACATGGGTGGGGGCAAGGTCCCTCCCATGATAGTTTCCCACTGATTACCAGGTCGAACATTACCATAGTGTGATCGCTACTTCCAGGGGAGTTTGTACCTGAACGTTTCCAACCAGAAGATGATCACTAGTCAGTAGTTAATCCAGTTTAGATGGTTTACCATCTGACCCCCAGCCGGTGTTGTCACTGATTTTGTCCTGCAGTCGAGTCATTTGGATGGCGTTTAGCAGGTTACAGTCAAACTTTCGGCTCGGGGTCGTGCCACCTTGCTCTAGGCTGAGGGTTGGAGTGTTGAAGTCGCCAGTTATAGAAATCTGGTCGTACCCTATAGTTGACACTGTGGATATTACTTGGAGTAGTTCTCGGCTGTGTTCCGAGTTGCTATTAGGGGACCGATAGATTCTTCCAACTGAGAATTTGGTGTGTTTGTCCGTCAAATGGCACCAGAGAGGGTCTGGGAGCTTTTTCAGTACCGTGTTGATGGTTTGCTCGCTTCTGAATAGCTTGTTCACATACATTGCGACCCCCCCCATCCCTATGTCTTCCGTCTCTCCTGAACGGAATCATGTCATCTATGTTAACTTCGGTGTCACTTATGTCTGGTGACAGCCATGTTTCTGTCAGGATCATGATTTTCTGGGCGAGGTCAAGACAGAGGTGCCAAAGCTCTGGCATTTTACTTCGAAGTCCTCCCACGTAGCTTCGAGACACTTGAAGGTGCTTCTCGAAACACGAGACGTCTCTGGGTTAATTGGTGGCACGGGTTTGGGTGTGAGGGGTTTCTGCTGACTGGTCAGTTCTTGGCCTTTCATACAAAGCGTTGAGGAGACTTCCATAGGTTATCACCTCAGACTAACGGCACATTCTGCCCCACCCAACACGGTAATCAAAAACAGAAATTCTACACTACATGACAGCAGAAAATCTATATTTTCAATTACTCTAAAGAAAAAGCGCATACAATGAACGCCATAGCAAGGGAAGTTAAGTAGAGAAAAATGTGAACATAGAAAACTATCTCCTTGTTGGAAATCTTGCTTTCTCTGCCTGCTGCTTCGTCTGTTTTCTTCTCGTTGCAGAAAAGTAATTCAGTCCTAAACGTTGGCTTCGTTGCCGTCGCCAACTAATTACTTGGGGAACAGACCATAGCTGAAACTGCCCTTAGTGGAGGGCAACCAGTTTTACCACGTTCAGAATGCCTAACTGCAACAAGCAGAAATAAAAATGCTCGCTGGGCTACAACTTCATGTTGTCAAAATCTAGGATTTACTCACCGTTAAAGTGACTAGGAGAGTCCATCACTCACCAACTGCAAGGCCGTCGCGACCAGTGAAAACGAAGGACAAGATGTCCTGGAAGTCCATCTGATGCATTCAAACAAGTCTGTTGCCTATGGATGCTGGAGCTGGAAAAGGGAAGATATTTGGCTTTTGGTCATAATATGCATCAAGATTATGAATCTTTGTCGTGGAATAGTATTAACATGCATGAATTATACGGTCCTGGAATCATCGATGGAGTACAATATGTAAACGATTCGTGAATACATTCCTACATAAACTTTTCACCACTATAGCAAACAAAAAGTGCTGACTGTAACGATGGAAGTATTAGCTTCAAGCTTTTATTTTTCTCCAGGTAATACCTGTAATGTCTAGATACAAACCTGGTTTATTTTGTTGATGCGAAAACAATACTTCCACTCGTTCAACTTGTAAATTTTCTGCATACTTATTCTGCTGGGATGCTCCATCATATGCTGCACCTATATCTTCTAGTGACAACGGGTGGGATTGAGTTTACCTTCCGTGAGGATGCATGTAGTTTGTACATAAACTTATTCATACCTGTAAAGATGGTGTGTGCCTGCATAATGAGGAATAAACATTATTATTGTTATTGGTTCTCAGTCTGCTTTCACAGCAGCGAACGTTACCGCTTATGGTGCTTTTGACTTTGAACCACTTCTCCAGCACTCTGGTGAGTACTTCTGGGGATTGGAAGTTGACAGCCATCAGTCTACGTGAGGCCATGGTTGTCAGATGCCAGGGGTGTGGCAGTCTGCTAATTGTCGCAGCTGCAACCCCACTCAGCTCCATCTGAGCTCATAACCACTTCCATTGTTTGACGTCATGTGTGTACTTATCACCCGGGGTACCGGTCACCATTTCAGGTATTCCATGTACGACCATGATTGTGGGTTTTTGTGGACCAGCTGCTTCTCGAGACGTCTTTCTTGATACCCGTGATCGGTAAGGTCTAGCTCTAATGTTGGACCATCTGTTGATGACCAGTGTGTGTGAC